ATCATGGATGAGGTTTCTGGATGGCGTTTTTTGGTGGGCTTGGGTGTACAGCGGAGCATTATGCCAGTTTCGCTTGCGGACAACTTGTGTCAGAGTAACGGATCCCCGCAGGATGCAGCTAATGGCACCCCCATTCGCACTTTTGGATCGAGGTTGGTGACTGTGTGTTTCGACAGATGTCAGTTTCAGTGGGACTTTATAACAGCTACTGTGTCTGTACCTATTTTGGGCGCTGAGTTTTTTTAATGTGCTTTCAGGTTATTAGTGCATGTTGCTAATAGCTGCTTAATCGATGCTGTGTCTTTTGATGCCTACCCCTGTAAACTTGGAGGTCCCACCAATCAACCTTTTGCTAACATGCTTGCCACAGGTGATGAGTATCAGCGTTTGTTGGCAGAGTTTCCTGCTTTGACAGTTCCCACCTTTTCTGCTACCATAGCTAAGCATGGGGTGGAACATTGAATCACTAGGGTTGGTTCACTGGTTTTTGCACGAGCACGCCACTTCGATACCACTAAGTTAGCAATAGCTAAGGAGTAGTTTGTTACCATGGAGCGTCTGGGCATTGTGAGATGTTCCAAAAGTCTATGAGCGTCCCCCTTGCACTTGGTGCCAAAGGCCGATGTGGGTTGGCAACACTGTGGGGATTTTTGGCGCCACGCAACCAGTACATTCAGGATTTTTCTGCCCACCTGGTGGGGGCAACTGTTTTTTTTTTTTCAAGGTAGATTTGGTACGGGGCTACCATCAGGCTCCTGTGCATCCCTTAGATGTACCAAAAACCACATTTATCACACCTTTTGGTCTTTTTTAGTTTTTACGATGCCCTTCGGCCTTAAAGGCGCAGCGCAGACGTTCCAGCAACTTACGGATTCGGTCCTACAGGGTATGCTGTTTTTGTTTGTCTATTTGGACGATATATTGGTGGCTAGTCCCTCGGTGGCAGAACACATGGTCCACTTTCAACAACTGTTTGTTCGGCTCAGTGAGCATGGCCTGATCGTGAACTCAGCTAAATGTCAATTTGGTCTGCTTGCTGTTGAGTTCCTGGAACACAGAATGTCTGCTCAAGGGGTGGTTCCCCTACCTGCCAAGGTAGAAGCTGTTTTAGTTTTTCCTCACCCTCCTTCAGTGAAGCCCCTGCAGGAGTTTTGGGGGATGGTGAACTTTTATAACCGTTTCATCCCACGGGTGGCTCATCTCATTGTTTGAAGCACATTGAGACAAAAAAGGGGACCAGCAAATAGAGTGGACCCCTGAGAGGGTAGAGGCATTTGATGATGCCAAAGAGGCTTTGACTAATGCTGCACTTTTGGCCCATCCATCTCCAGTGGCTCCTGTGACTCTGACAACTGATGCCTCTGATTATGCAGTTGGGGCAGTTTGTGAACAATGGGTGGATGGCACATGGCAACCCCTCGCTTTTTTTTTGCAGGAAACTCCAGGATGCTGAAAAAAAAGCACATTTGATAGGGAACTGCTTGTCCTTTCTCTGGCAACGGGCCATTTCCGGTTTATGTTGGAGGACAGGGACTGTACTGCTTTTTTTTTTACTATAAGCCTCTCACTTTTGCTGTGGCAAAAGATTCTGAACTGTGATCGGCACGGTAACAACGGCATTTGTCCACCATTTCAGAGTTTACTATGGACATTCATCATGTGGCTAGCAAGAATAACCTGGTGGCTGACTGTCTGTCCAGAGCAAGGGTTGCTTCTATGCATTTAGGCATTGATTACCTCACCATGGCCGCAGACCAACTGATGGACCTGGGTATTCTGGCCCTTAAGGCAGCCAAATCCAGTTTGCATGTGAGGAAGTTACTTTTCTTGAGTGTGGTGCAACCCTTCTTTGTGATGTCTCAACTGGCAAGCCTCGATCTCTGGTTCCTAGTGCCTGGCGACATTTTTCTTTTGATACAGTTCATTCCCTTTCACACCCGGGGGTGAAAGCTTCAGCAAAACTGGTAGGGGCAAAGTTTGTGTGGCCAGGGCTGTAGAGATGTAAGCACATGGGCAGCTTCCTGTTTAGCTTGTCAGCGTGCCATGGTGCAATGGCACACTAAGGCTCCACTGGAACAGTTTCCTATTCCCCAAGGGAAGTTTGAGCATGTGGATTTAGTGGGCCCACTTCCACCTTCCAGAGGTTTTAGCTATCTTCTAATTATCGTGGACAGAACCACTCAGTGGCCAAAGACTGTTCCACTGTCTTCAACCACTTTGGTTGATGTGGCTCAGGCATTTATCTCCTCATGCATTTCCTGATTTGGTGTGCCATTGGACTTGACACAGGGGTCCCCAGTTCACCTCAGAGTTGTGGATTGCAGTGGCAAAGAGCCTTGGGGTTAAACTCCACTGTACTATTGCCTACTACCCACAGGCCAGTGGTCTTTGTGAGAGGTTCCACCGCACAATGAATGCTGCATTGCGGGCCTCATTGGTGGATAATGGTTGGATGTATCACCTGCCTTGGGTTTTGTTGGGTCTACGTTCAGCTCCTAAAGAGGACCTGTGGTTTCCTTCAGCTGAGTTGGTCCTTGGCCAGCCTTTGAGGGTACTAGGGGAGTTTCTTCCAGGTCCAGTGGGTTCAGTTGCTCCCAAGGGGAGTAGGGCAGTCCTAACAGGGAAAAATAGATATTTTGCCCCATTGGCAGCACATAGGGCTGGGCGATATATCAATATTTTTAAAATATCTATATAATTTAATTCACAATATAAAATGAAACTATATCGATATAAAACGATATAGCCTTATACTCGACCTACAGTTTATAAATCTGCCAGTTTTTTCCTCCCTCTCACCTTAATGCTACCCCTCCTTCTTTTCTCTCACTTGAGCGCTGAAGAGGATTATTATTTAATATATGTAAATAGTTTATTTTTTAGGCATTTATTTTGTACAGTTACAACTGTTAATAAATGTGCCTGTGTGACAATTGGGACAAAACTTTAACTCAAATATATTTTTGTTATTATTTTATGGAAAGAAAAAATATTGAGACATATATATATATCATATATCGTGATTTTTTTGTAAAAATATTGAGATATTAATTTTGATCCATATTGCCCAGCCCTATTTGTTACTGTGGTCAGTTGTAGGAAAAATTATTGCTGTCCAGATAACTGGGATTTTAGTTCCTTCACTGTTTTCTTTCTCACCTCGCTTTTTAAAAGGAAGTCAGAGCCGTAGTATGTATAGTCCGAAAATGCCGCTCCGGTGAAACGCACTTAGAATTTGACATTGGGAAAAAAAATCCTCCCTCCATTCCATATGGAAATGGTAGGTTTTCTGCTTCTTATTTGGTCCAACTCCCCAACTCATTTGACACTTTTTTGAGTTTAGATTAGAAGAAATAACCTGGAGGCTATTACGAGTCAACTCATTTGTTTTTAGCACGGTTGAATCCTCATGCATAGTGACCTATGCGTCAGAAATATCTGGTCTCTGATTGGCTGCCCCATATGTCAATCATGGGCATCGTTGTTTGCACATGTGTGGTGACCTATGTGTCAGAAAAGGTCGCTCTCAGATTGGCTAATCTGTATGTCAATCAAGTGACGATTTGCATAGTGAAGATAGATTGATCGGCTACGTTTATTAAAAAAAAAAGAAATATTAAAAAAAGGTCTGACATCTATTTTGCCGTGCGATCTACTGATATAACCTTCATGATCTACCGGTAGATCGCGATCGCCCTATTGGGCACTCCTCACATAGAAAATAAAGCAAGACTCAAAATATTTTTTATCTCTTTCTTCCAACATCCACAAGGGCATATTTTTTTATATATACAGTATCTGACAGCATCTGGCTGCACGATGGCTCTGTTGGTAGAGATGCTGCCTCTCAATGAGAAGGTTACCAGATCAAATCCATTCCAGGGATCTTTCTGGGTAGAGTTTGCATGTACTCTTTGTATGCGTTGGTTTTCTCCTGTTTCCTCCCACAGACCAAAAACATGCATTTTAGGCTTATTGGTAACTAAATTGTCCCTAGGTATGAATGAGAGTGTAAATGGTTGTTTGTCTTTATGTGTCCCTGTGATGGACTTGAGACCTGTCCAGGGTGTCCCCCGTCTCTCGCACAGGAACTGCTGGATATGAGCATCAGTGACCTCTGTGGCCCGGAAGGAAGCAGGTAAAGATAATGGATGGATGGATGGATGGATGGATGGACCTGACAGCATAGCAATGAACTAAGGTCCCATGCTTCCTGTATGGTGGCCCTGAAGTTTAAACCACAACTACACATTAAAAAACACAACAACATTTTAAAAAACTCATTTAAATTTGAAAATATGCAACATTTGAAAAAACACAATTACATCTGAAGAAACACGATTACATTAAGTGAAACCGGAAGAGGTGGGACCAGTGGAAAATATGAGACATTGCTTATTGGACGACGGGGTGTTTGAACCTCCCACCTTTCCCACCTCTTCCGATTTCACTTAATGTAATTGTTTTTTCAAATTTTCAAAATTTTCACCACCCTGTGATGCAGGCTCTCCATGATGCACCTAGTATAAAAGTTAGTGAGGATGCTGGTGTTGGTACCAAACTTCTTTAATCTTCTTAGGAAGTAGAGTCTTTGTCAGGCTTTCTTGACCACAGTGTTTCATTGTTCACAGATGACGTGAACATTTTCTGTGTTGTTAAATTATTTAAGGCTCTATATCATTTTTATTCCTTCAGGAAGATACTGTATGTTGGAACCACCTTTCAAGGCTCTTTCCTGACATGTTTAGCATAGCTGTCATGCTTGGTCAATTTACAAAAATATACTCTTAGCATATTGTTTTATACCTCGCATTAACTTTCCTAAATATTGATTACTAAAATCCTGTTATTTGTAAAATAAACAAATAAAAATAATAATTAAAATGCTTTATTTTTAAAAAAGAATGTCAAGGGCCTCCTCTGGCCCTTCTTTTCCCCATATGTGCTAAAACTTAACAAAAACTTTGTAAATATGTATATATTTTTTTATTGCCTGACTATTCAAACTATTTTGAAAGGATTGTTTAAGCAACATGTCCCCTCTGTGTGTTTTTCTCAGCAGCACGAGGGAACAATGGCCCATTATAAGATCGGTGATGTCCAAGCCGTGGCACAGATATTGGATTGTGAGAGTCTGTCGGAGATTTGCGGTGATGCCTTAAGTATTGTAGTTCCACAAAAACCCAGAGTGAGAAGAAAATGTGCTTCAAAACACAAACCTCAAGATGCTTCTGGTAGCACTAAAAAGGGAGAAAAGACAAAAGGCTGTAAAATGGTCCATAATCCTCGTCGTTACTCTTCGAATGAGAATCTTCACAGTGAAAAACAAGTTGAGACAAAAAGCATCGAGGAGAGTGAGAACGGGACTGAAGACGCCGTTCGGCCAAATGTAAAGGAAGAAAAGGAAGAGACCTCACTGCTGGAGCCTTTATCTGATGATGACTGGGCATGTGACGTTGAGATAAAGAGTGACGATGAGATGCAGAGTAATGACCCCTTGTTTATATTGGACACTGAGGACGAGGATGAGGAGGAAGATGACGAAGAAGAAGAAGAAGAACTGTTTAAGAGGAAACAACAAAAACCATCCAGGACCCAGTTCCTGTGTAACAAGTGTATGCAGACTTTCCACAATGAGAAAAGCTACTTGAAACACATCAGGTAATGTTTCTCCTGGGCTTTATTGATCATTCTTGTAGTTCATTGACGTGTGCATGATGAGTCCAGTTGATCAATGAACCAGCTAGTTATAAGCTCATTTTTAGAATTGAAATTAATTTACTTTGTGCCATTTCCTCCTGTAAAGCTCCTTAGTCATTTGGGATTTTAATAAGAATTTAAATGGACAAAATATGGTGATTTTGATGTATAATTTGTATAAGAAACTTTAGGATAAAGCAATGTTAAAGCTGCTGCCAGTGGCTCATTATGATCACCATGGTAACCACCCACACACACCTTTCATACTGTGTGAGTTGATTTAGTATATCTTGTTCCATGTCTTCATTTTAATGCTGTTGTTTTAATTTTTTAAGGTATATTCTTACTGCTTTTTATTTCTTAGTGTTATCCTTAGTGTTAAGCACTTTGATAACAGTCTATCTGTTTTAAATTGTGCTCTATAAATAAATATGACTTGACTTGACACACCCATGTCTTTCACTCCCAGGAATCAGGCAGACAGAAATGCAGAATAGAAAGTAAGTCTCAAACAATCACTGAACTCCTGAAATGGCAGAAGTGTCTAATTACCATACATGTTCATTCAACCTTTATTTAGACAGGTAAATCCCATTGAGCCTCGAGGACTCATTTACAAGAGAGACCTGATTTAACAAAGAATGATGACAACAATGGACAACAGCGACAACAATAAACAGTTATAAAAAGTCATACTACGTTGTTTTTTTTTAACAAATAGGATGGCTAAAAGAAAAAGGTAACAAAAAAACAGCTAGCTTATAAGGTGAATGTAGAAAACTAAAAACAGGAACATGTCTGCATTGGTCCCTGCCAGGAGTCCAACAGATTCTTAAAGCCACTTGGAGGTCAAGGTCGAGAGCTTCAACCCTTTTTGTAAGATATTCCAGGAAACAGGAGCGGAGTAGGAGAAGGCCCTCTTGCCTATAGTTCAGTCCTCATTGAGGGAACACTGCAGGTAATAATTGTGCACATGTGTGCACACGTGTATTTTTTATACTTGTTTTATGTAGGAGTTAAGTTAAAATTTAATCTTGAATAGAAAATTCTGATCTTGGATACAATGGAAGTCCATGAGAGTTTGGATGTGTGCACTCAGGGGATTTGAGAGAAAACAAGTCATAGTGATGGGAGACACACTGACAGGAGATGTCAGGGTTTTTAGATAGAAACTGTATAAAAAGTGTGAAGACTGTGGGGAATAAGAATTGTTTGCTGGCAAAACATTTGAAAAGTTTAGGCTAGAAAGTGACCAAAATAACTTTTTCATTGGGCATTACCAAGCTTTAGAAATCAGGTCAGCCTATGGCCGATGACGCCCCCCCCCACCCCCCACCACCACCTTTTTTTTTGTCTTGTAAATGGGACACTTTTTTAACAGTGTTGTGATAAAACAATCTTTATTTATTTTTTACAAAATGTGTAATTTTTGTTGGTCAAGAAAGACAAATTACCGTAAGACAAGTCTCTGGAATCACTCACAATATCAGGAGGATCTAGGTGTCAGGGTGTAGCTTTAAAATCCAGGAATCAGAAAATTAGTTTACGTAGACTAAATATGACTTCATCCCTGATTTGATTAATGTGATGGGTCACACACGTCTTTCTCATTTAACATTGATTAATTTAGCTAGACTAATATCTAACAAGGCAGCACGGTGGAGCAGTTGGTAGAGCTGCTGCCTCTCAGCGAGCAGGTCACCCCAGTTCAAATCCCAGCCGGGGGCCTTTCTGGGTGGAGTTTGCATGTTCTCTCCGTTATTGCAAGTTTTCTCCGGATACTCTGGTTTCCTCCCACAGACCAAAAACATGCATGTTAGACTGATGGGTAATTCTAAATTGTCCCTATGTGTGAGTGAGAGAGTGAATGGTTGTTTGTCTCGTGTGTCCCTGTGATGGACTGGAGACCTGTCCAGTGTGTCCCTCGCCTCTCACACAGTGATGGCTGGACATGGGCACCAGTGACCCCCACGACCCGAAAAGGAATAAGCGGGTAAAGATGATGGATGGATGGATGGATGGATGGATAATATTTAAAAACCCACGTGCACCTAACAATAATCTATTGAACAGTGTTCTTACTTTTTTTTATTTTTTTTATTTTTTAGAATTTGCTTTGGGTTTGTTTCAGATGTAATGGACATGGGGATGAAAAACAAAGAAGATAGTGTTCTTACTTTAAAACACTTGAGTTGTGAGATACAGGAAGCTGGTTGTTGTAGCAGTTGTTGCATCTAATAAATACACACAGGTATGGCAGATTATCATTTGAAGTATCAATTATCAGATGATTAATTGGTCTATATTTAGAGCCCAAAGGTCAGTCACATAATCACACTCGAGTTGAACATTTAGTCAAATCTCTACAAAGGGGCGGCTGTGGCTGAGTGGTTAGAGCAGTCGTCCTCCAATGCGAGAGTTGGGGGTTCGAATCCACCAGCAGTCACATGCCGAAGTGTCCCTGGGCAAGACACTGAACCCCTCATTGCCTCTGATGTGTGTCCCATCAGTGCGTGAATGTGCTCTAAAAGCACTGATTAGTCTCATTAGAATGATTTGTTCAATTATCTTTGTAGTGATCTAGTAGAGTGCTGTGTGAATGGGTAGATGAGGACACAGATTGTAGAGTAAAGCACTTTGAGTATCTTGAAATAAGATAGAAAGGCACTGTATAAGGACAGTCCATTTACCATTTACAAACTGAGAAGAATGCCTGAGCTATAAGTTCCAAAGGAGGCTTGTTTTTTTTTTTTTACGTTTGTCAGTTGGTATCAAGAGAACTCTTTATGCTTGTTGGCACACCTAATTAAATAAACTTTTTTCTTCTTCTTTCTGCCAGTACTTACCATGGAGAGACAGCAGATGTACCGGTAATCTATTGCTGTGAAGTCTGCCAGCAGACATTTGCTAACCGCAAGAACCTGAAGCTCCACGTAAAATACGTTCACAGCACTGAGAGACTTTTTGAGTGTGACATTTGTGCAAAGACCTTTAAACGAAAGAATGATGTCGCCCACCATAAGAGACAGGTGAGGTGTAAATCTTTGCATGCTTCCTTTTTGTTTTCTCAAAGTCAAACGTTTGGGCGATTTTCTCAGAGAAATTTAAAGCAGAAATTTGTCCCAGGTGCATGAACAAAAACAGCAATACTTGTGCCCTGAGTGTGGAAAGACGCTCAGCTCCAAAATTACTTTGTTGGTGCACGAGAGGACGCACACGGGCATCAAACCCTACGAGTGCACCAAGTGTCAGGCCAGATTCACCCAGAAGTCTTCCCTCAGTAGTCATCAAAGGTAAACTGTTCTTTGTCGCTTGAACCTGCTGCTTTGTCACAAAACAAGTTGAACATTTCTTCTTCTGCCTTTTTCTTAAGCCTTAATAAAACAGGTGGTAGTATTGTGAGGGGAAAGCTTAAGGATTTTGTTATTGGTAATTGTTTTGCCCCTTGGAGATATTTTATTTTCAGCAAACTATAAATGAATAACTTTTTATTTACATTTAAACAGTTGTAGATATTTATTTCACATTAATATAATATATATATATATATATATATTAAGTGTATACTAATGAGTGACATGGATGAGAGCTAAATATCTGTGTTTTATCCTGTATAGGATACACACCGGAGAGAGACCGTTTGCGTGTAATGAATGTGATGCCCGCTTCACTCAGAAGCGCAAGTTGGCCTGTCACAAGAGAACACACTCAGGTTAAAGAGATTTTAGTATTCTTTGGGACAGGGGTCACCAACACGGTGCTTGCTGGCACCTGGTCCCCCGTAGGGACCACATGAGTTGCCCGCGGGGCTTGTTCTAAAAATAGCACTCATCATCAAGGAGCACCACCTAAAAATCGTCATTACTGGTAATTATATTTTTAAATTTAAGAAACAACATTTGCATGGATGTATATGTTAAATGAAAATTATATATATATTTTTTTAAAGAAATAGTTTTACAGATAGTTTAACAATCTTGTCTGGGGTCAAAGTTCAGAATCATGCGTAGGCCACTCCCATCTCTTCAGCGGTGCAGCTACAAGAGGTTAAAATGGCAGAAAATCATAAGAAAATGTATGTTCACAGTGACTGGGAGGAAGAGGTCTTTTTATAATTGTGAAAGACAAGTTTGTCTGTGTCTTGGGCTTGGAGACACCAAAACAACATGGAGCAACACTTCATCAGCTAACATGTTAGCTTCAATGCTAACTTTTGAACAACCGGCAGATGATTTTCACGAGGGATTTTCAGATAAGCTCTTGAAAAAAATCATTGATGAAATGTATAAAAAAATAATTTCTTTAAAAGAGTAAAAGATGCAATGATTAGTTAAAATGATTTTGTATGTACAGCACTTTGATGCAGCTGTGGTCATTTTAAAGGACTTTATAAAAAAAGTATTATTATTATTATTATTTATTAAAAATGCTGCAGATCTGAGGATCAATACTAATGTCACATGATTCATTTAAAAATGTCACTTTGTTTTTTACATTACGGATAATTTGTATCTACAAGTTAGTTCTTCTGAAGTGTTATAATCATAACAGTTCGTGCAAACGGGGCTTGACTGGAAGATTTTATTGTTAATAGGTTCTTAAAAATGCTGCAGAAGTTGTTGATAGTAAAAGGCATATTTTGAATGTTATTCATTCCTACAAAACAGTTAATTAAATATTTATAAAATGCACAGAATTTCAACTGTTACTGATTGAGATTAACATAAAATAAATGGTAATTTATGTTTAAATATCAGTTTTCTGCTGTAGTAAATCATCCTTTATGCCCTCTTGTTTAGGACTGGAGCCAATCTCTGCTGCTTTTGGGTGAAGGCAGGGGACAGCCAGGACAGAGTCTCCAGTCCATCACAGAGACACAGACAAAGAGACAAACAACCATCCACACTCCCAGTAACAGCTAGGAACAATTTACAATCGCACAGAAGAACCAAAAAGGATTCAATCTGAGGACTCAAGTTCTCGATTGAGAGTTCTAATCACTAATTATCAATAATAATTGATCATTTATCATGCTAAATCCTTACTGATAATCACTGTGTGGAGTCTTTAATAATACAGATCAGATCAGATGTGATCAGGCAGTCATATTTTCACATGAATTTAAAAATATTATTATTAATACTAAAAGGTGAGCCGTGCAAATTTGTTTGGATCAAACAAGTCGCCCTTCGTGTCTCTCGGTCCCACTAAAGTAGCGCTCAGTATCAAAATGGTTGGTGACCCCTGCTTTAAGAGGATGTTAAAAAATTGTATTTGTTACATTTCTTTTAGCTGTAGCACAATCACAATAATAAATACTGAAATATAAGAAGGTAGCTGTCTACTAAGCATTAAACTTTTTATATTTTTTGTATCCTTTTAGGATTAAAGCCCTTCATGTGTAACGCCTGTGGGAAAAATTTTGCGTCTAAAGAATACCTTAAACACCACTTAAACATCCACACCGGCGCCAAACCTTTTAAGTGTGACACTTGTGAAAGAAGCTTTGCTCAGAGGAACTCCCTCAGACAGCATTTAAAAATACATACAGGTAAGACATTTACTTATATTTGTTCTAAATGTACTTTTAAGTTATTGAGTTCCTCCTGGTAACAATAAAACAAACTTGTTCTGTAGGTGAGCGTCCGTACAAATGTACAGTATGTGGTAAACAGTTCACTCAGCTCGGCGCTCTCCAGCGGCACCAACGGATCCACACGGGAGAGAAACCTTTCATGTGTGCTCTCTGTAAACGAACTTTTACTGACCTGTCCACCTTTCGCAGGCACACTTCGGTGAGTTGGTGCTTCTTCCTCTAGTACTGTAACATTGAACGGTATTTTGTACTCTAGGCAGCACGATGGCACAGTTGGTAGAGCTGCCGCCTCTCAGCGAGTAGTAGGGGTGTAAATCACCAGCTTTACAACGATACGATATTATATTGATTTGTTTGTGTGACAATATGATTTTTCTCAATATCACAAAGTCTGTAACGATACATTTTCGATTCTATTCGATTCACAAGTCTGCGATTGATATATATCTCATTTACACATAAATAAATTTACAAAAACAATTCAAATATGATTTAACTATTTTATTTCTGTTATTACAGGCACCAGGCATTTAAATAATTTTTTTTTCATAATTAATGAAAAAATAAAAATAAATTACCTGTTCAGTATAGTCTCACATTTCTCATGTTTAAGTGCATTTTTTTAAACCAGTTAACTTAAAAGTGCCCTGATTATCTTTCAGAGTCAGAGTCAGAATTTCTTTATTGTCATTCGCACCTCATGTGGTACATGTGGTGGAGCGAAATTATGTACACGGGGTCCCAGTTACATCCGACAATAAAATGTATAATAAAAACAGTAATAACATCTAAGATATGAACTAAGAAAAACATCAACTAAATATACACTAAGCACTCATAACATAAAACATTGAACATCAGCACAAACATGAACATGAGTCTGTGAGCAGATGTGCACGCATGAACACATCAACATTGAAACAGATCAGCAGCAACATGATATGGTTTTTCACAGTGATTATTCTAGTTAGAGATTCATGAGTCTAACAGCCTCAGGGTAGAAGCTGTTCCTCAGTCTAGTGGTTCTACACTTAATGCTCCTTAACCTCCTTCCTGAGGGGAGTGGGGCAAAAAGTGTGTGTGCTGGGTGGGTGGGGTCCTTCATGATGCAGGTGGCCCTCTTCCTGCATCTGGAGGTGTAGATGTCTGTGATGGTGGGGAGACTGATTCCAACAGATTTCTGTGCAGCCTTCACCACTCTCTGCAAAGCTTTTCTTTCTGCAGCTGTGCAGCCTCCATGCCACACATTGATGCTCGAGCACAGGATGCTCTCCACTGCACACCTGTAGAAGGAGGTGAGGACTGAGCTTCCCAGACCAGCTCGCCTCAGCCGTCTGAGGAAGTAGAGTCTCTGATGAGCTTTCTTGATCAGGCTGGTGGTGTTGTTGCCCCAGCTGAGGTTGTCATTCATGTGTACACCCAAGTACTTGGAGCTGGAGACCACTTCCACCGCAGATCCTCTTATGTTCAGGGGGGTGTAGATGTTTTTGTTCCTTCTGAAGTCCACAATCATCTCCTTTGTCTTCTTCACATTGATGTGAAGGTTATTCTCTCTGCACCAGCTCTCCAGGTGTTCCACCTCTTGCCTGTAGCTGGACTCATCATTGTTTGTGATGCATCCCACCACCGCTGTATCATCTGCAAACTTTACAATGTGACAGCCTGGATGGGTAGCTGCACAATCATATGTGAGCAGAGTAAACAGAAGGGGGCTCAACACACATCCCTGTTATTTCAGTTATAAAGAAACAAAAATAGATATTGAGCTTACATAACATGGCTATCAATGCTGAGTTTCTTCTTCAGGTGAACGACCAAATTTGTTGTTTCCCGAGTATTTTAACTCACACTAGCACCTGTTGCATACGACATGAGTTTTGTCTGTTGAGCCGTCCTTCTGTTGGAATCCAAAATATTTCCACAGTGTTGATTTAAATCCAGCAAGAGAGTGAATTTCATCATCTGTGTTTTCTGCCTCGTCTGCCATGTTGAGAGGCAGATGCAGAGCGCAGCTGCGCACGGAAATGGTGATACAGACATGTCCTGATGATTGCTCAATAATCCAGGTAGAAAAATCTAAAAGAGTTAAGTCTGATCCTCTGGACATTCAAAAAACAAAACAAATAAAGTAGAAACGTTTCGTCTTTCATCCGTAAGACTTCTTCAGTTTGAGGTGCTATGTTCAGCTCAGTCTTAGGGTGCATTCACACCAGCCCTGTTGTACCGAACTCTTTCCCGTTTGCCTAGGAAGTCCGGTTCGTTTAGGGAGGTGTGAACGTGCTATCAAACTTTGTCACGGAACGAAAAGGCAAACTCTGGCTCCCCTAAAAACCTAGGTCTCGGTCCGGTAGACGAAAACTCTAGCGCGGTTTAGTGTGAATGCAAGAAGACCGGGTCCCACTCCGCAAGCAGGAAGTGGAGTACAGTGCAGGACAAACAAACATGCATTTCTCTTTCCTCATATGGAGCCGTCAGCTTACCTTGTGTGAAAAACAACATTCTACATGGTCTTCTGCCTCATCTTCCACTCATGCTGAGTCCATAGTTGAAAAATGACAAAATAGAACTTCTAAAACTGATAAAACTTGACGTCACTCTGTTTTTATTTTTATTTCTATAAGAAGAAGAAAAAGTGTCTTCAGAGGTTTTGTGTCGTTTCTTTCAGTAGTTCTTGGTGCAGCGCCACCACAGGCGAGTGAGGGAATAGGTTGGTTCGAACAGGTTGTCTCGACTGCACAGTGCAGTGTGAATGCAAACGCACCAGCTCAAATGTAAACAAAATTTCATGAATATTGGTCCCGAACCGAGTCTACTGGACTATCAAGTGTGAAAACAACCATAGTCATGCATGCTCAATAATCCAGGTACAAAAATCTAAAAAAGTTTAATCTTGTCCTCTGGACATTCAAACAAAACAAATTGTAGAAACGCTTCGTCTTTCATCTGAAAGACTTCCTCAGTCTGAGGTGCTGTATTCAGCTCAGTCTTTTAAAAAGCATCTTCTCAGAGTGGATCAACCAGTTTGCTGCTGACAACCAAAACCAGCTGCTCACATGGTCAAGAAGGACCATCAGCCTAACAATGGATCATTAGCACACTGATGGCTGTTTACTATTCACAGAGGGCTGAGTGATACTAGCAATCACAGCATTGTAAGAGGGGGACAATTGAACCCGGAGGCCTCCACCCCTGTTTAATGATGGACGGTTTCTTTTCACAAAGATGGCCTCCTTTACTCCTCTCTCAAACCATCGTTCCTCTCTATCAAGGATATGAACATCTTCATCCCTGAAAGAGTGACCGCTGGCCTGGAGATGAGTGTAGACCGCAGAATCCTGGCCTGATGATGTTGATCTTCTGTGCTGGGCCATCCTTTTGGCCAGTGGCTATTTAGTTTCCCCGATGTAAGACTGATCACAGCCCTCTCTGTTGGAGATGATCACAGCCACAGAATCAGCCATCCCAAACAACAAAATTAAAGAGTGTGAGGCAGAACAACTCAGAATCAAAGTTTCATACTGCCTCAGCAATGCTGCTGCTCAGCAATGCCAACCCACCACCTTCCAACATCAGTAGGAGAGGGATGCACTCATCACTCTTAGCAAGGACAAAAACATCATCATTCTCCCAGCAGACAAAGGAAGGTGCACAGTGATTTTGAACCAGAAAGACTATCATGAGAAAGTTATGATACTCCTTAGTGACTTAACCACTTATAAACCTCTGAAAAGAGATCCAGGAAGTAGTTACAAGAAGAAGTTGATAGATTGCCTGAACATTTTGGAGCAGGACAAGGCTATTGACCGTTTTCTTTACCACAGACTGTACCCATGGGAGGCCACACCTAGTCTGTATGGTTTACCTAAAGTCCACAAACAAGGTGTACCTTTAAGACCAATCGTTAGCATGATTAACTCTGTCACTTACAATGTTTCCAAATATCTGGCGTCTGTACTCATCCCTTTAGTTGGCAGCTCAGAACACTACATACAGAACACCATGGACTTTGTGGATAAGGTGAGGGATGTCATCATGGTTTTGGTTGTCAGCAGCAAACTGGTTGATCCACTCTGAGAAGGTGCTATTTATAAGTCTGAGCTGAATACAGCACCTCAGACTGAAGAAGTTTTTCTGACGAAAGACGAAACGTTTCTACTTTTCTTTTTTTGTTTTGTTTTGTTTGGTTTGGTTTTTTGAATGTCCAGAGGACCAAACTTAACTTTTTTTAGATGACACAGACATGCCTTGGGAATTTTAAAATAAAAGCGTATTTTAAAGATGATTATATGAATCAATGTTTTAGTTTTGCCACAATATAATTGAATCATTAATCATTTAATCAATATATCTATTTAAATCGATGTATTGTTACACCACTAGTGAGCAGGTCACCTCAGTTCAAATCCCGGCCGGGAGCCTTTCCAGGTGGAGTTTGGATGTTCTCTCCGTGCATGCGTGGGTTTTCTCCGGGTACCCCGGTTTCTTCCCACAGACCAAAAACATGCATGTTAGGCTGATTGGTAATTCTAAATTGTCTGTAGGTGGGAGTGTGGATGGATGGATGGATGGATGGATGGATGGATGGATGGATGGATGGATGGATGGATGGATGGATGGATGGATGGAGTTTGACTCAGGTAGATGTAGTGCCCCTTTAAAAGAAGAAAACAATATTTTTGCCATTCCTGCTTTGACATAGTGAATACTAGTGCGTTTTTTATTATTAGCTAATAGCGCATCAATCCATCATACTGCTGTTAAAATGACACCACTTTGTTTAAATTTTAAGGTTCATGACATAGAAGCTCCAAGGAAGACCTACTTGGTGATGCTGAAGGGAAATATCGAGGAAAAGAAGCCAAGGTCTCCCACTGAGGAAAATGCAGAACAAGCAAAACCAGGGAAGAAAACTAGCGAAAGTCCAAGTGGTGAGAGCACTGCTCCTGCTGTTTCTGCTCCAGCTGTTTCTACTCCTGCTGTTTCTACTCCTGCTACCAGTTCTGCTCGTGGTGCTGGTACTACCCAAACTGAAACAACTGTGGTTCCAACTGAGTCGGTCACTGTCCCATCTGACTGGACCAGTCATGGCGCTCTTGGTGATATCACCGTCATCAACACAAAGGTTCCAGCAGGGATGCAGTTCCAGACCATAATAGTCACTAACAACTAGGGCTGAATGATTTTGGAAAATATACTAAATGCATTTTTTTTATATGCGATTGCGATTTAATATGCAATTATGTTTCAATGTCTTCTTCTCATGTATTTTTCAACAAACACAATCGATAAATTAATCTGTTTCAGTTGCAAAAAACTCCACTGTTTTAAACTTCGCTGTAACTCTGTTTCTGTATATTTTGTGTAGCTCCGGGATAGCAACTTGTCTAAAATGTGTGCTCGAGGGCATTATGTACCGCTTATCCATTGTGTTTTCCAAACCCTTGCTCTTGTCAAGGGCGAACACATTTCTCCTCCTCTCCCTCTCTGCTTTGCTTTGCTCTGTCCTGTCTGGGAAACTGCTTAGAACCTCTTCTACAAATATTCTGAATCATAATTCTGCTATGGATTTGGTCAGTTGGTCCCTCAACACAATTGACAACATTTCTTCAAAGAGAAGATGGGCTTTAGGCGAGCCAATGTGCCCTGTTGGCACGCATGCAGCTGGATATCTCATCGACTTGGAAGAGTTGATGATATGTCTATCTCTGCTGTCATTCATGGATGTTAAAAGACACAATTGGGGGGAGGGGGGGTTGGGGGAAGAAAGACACAATTGGATTTTTATGACAACTGGTTTCTTGCTTTTTGGATTCGACTGGTTCCTGGTTTACCAACATTCAAGAAGTTGTCGGCAGCAAATTTGGATCTGGTCAGGCTGCCTGCCTTTATATGATGGTTTGGTTCATGCCGCGAGCACCCAGACACAAATGCTTTTGGCAGGATGTATCAGATCTCGGGGATTACGCTCAGGCACGGACCATTTAATTTGGATGTTTCGGAACCAAGTGGACCGGATGAACTGGATGGACAGCATAAGACAGCAGATGTTCCCTTAGATGAACAAAACAACACAGCTCAAGTAACATTTCTATGCTGATGACACAGTTATTTATTGTTGAGCTAAAATAGTTGCTAAAGCTCTCCAGCTTTTGCAATCCGCCTTCGACATCATCCACGCAGATTTGTTCCGCCTCAAACTTGTCCTAAATGCCGATAAAACCAAAGGGATGCTTTTTTCAAACAGGAAGTCGGTCCCATCAGTCCTACTTCTGATTTTATCCTCAAACGGTATCGCTATTGAGTTTGTTTGTATCTTGGTCGACTCGCATTTCTCCTTTAAGCTTCATGTGGAAAGTCTAGTAAGGAAACTGAAAGTTAAACTGGGTTTCTTTTTCAGAAATAGATCCTGTCTAACTCTGAACGCTAGGAAATGCCTTGTGACTGTGACTTTCCTTCCCTCGATCGACTACAGTTACATTATTTACATGAACACTCCTACAAGCACCCTGCAGATGCTGGATGCTGTCTAGCACGGTGTATTTAAATTCATAATTGGCTGTAACTACCATACCCACCACTGCACCCTGTATTCACTGGTTAACTGGTCATCATTAACCTCACACAGACTCTTCCATTGGTACATTTTCATCTTTAAATCACTTCTTGGTCTGCTGCCTTCATACATCTCCTCCTACATGTCTTTGCACGAGTGCAGCTACAGCGTGCGCTCTCAGGACATTATTACATGCAGTGTTCCCTCATTAAGGTCTGAGCTAGTCAAAAGGCCTTCTCCTATGCTGCCCCTGTTTCCTGGAATACCTTGCAAAAAGATCTGAATCTCTCGACCTTGACTTCTCTAAGTTACTTTAAAACCCTGTTAAGTACCTGGCAAAAGCCAATGCAGACATGTTCCTGTTTTTAGTTTCGGTTTGGTCCGGTACGCGCGGACCTCCCCGGACTGACTTATGCCCGAGTATACTGGGGTCTTACTCCATTAAGGGGCCGTTTACATGGCGCATATTTTGATTGAATCCACACCTTCCTCTCTGCAGTTCTGCTGTTCATTTCACAACACTAGTAGCTCCCCTCTTTGAATCCGGAGGTTCTCAACCCACCTCTCGGGCCCTATTTACACGGACACGGTGGGGGGAAACGGATGTTTTTTTGTATGTTAATTAGAGGAAAAGGTCCACGTTGACACCAACGGATTTTGTGTTTACATACATCCGCATGACCCCCCCCCCCCCCCCCCCCCCCCCCCCCCCCCCCCACACACACACACACACACCAATTCTGGATCATTAGTTGGTGCAGTGAATTTTGTACATTCTAATGTGCATGCGTGCTGCCTCGGCCCACTCCCTGTAAGGACTTTCCTCTGGGCTAAAAGTTCAGCTAACAACAACTTCACAACAAGTCAGATTTATACACATGCATCAAAAACATCAGAGAAAGTAGGAGTGTCATATGTAATACCAGAATTCAACATAGAATTAAGGAAAATAATCACAAATGGAGTATCAGTATACACAGGTGAGATGTTGGCAGTATTATTGGCAGTGCAGTGGGTAGAAGACACAAGATCGTTAAAAACCATCATCTCTTCAGACTCAAGTTCAACATTCATCAGTTTGCAAAATAGTTATTCAGCTAGCTGACCAGACATTTTACTAGAACCACAACAAACATTATTCAGAATACAAATAATGGGACTGACAGTAATATTTTTATGGACACCAGCACATATAGGGATCAGAGGGAATGAAGCAGCAGACAGGGCAGCAAAAGCAGCAACAAAAGATCAAATCAATTTTACAATATCCCTCAGTAAATCAGAAGTAAGAACCATAGTGAAACAAAAACTAAAGGAAAAATGGCAAAAACGGGGAAGAAGAGCACAAAGGAAGATGGTACTTGTGGAAGTCAAATATTTGTACTCAGAATAAAACAATCAATCGAGCCAGAGTTAACATTTATCTTTTAAAAGTGATTTTAATCAAGACATAGTTAACATTTATCTTTAAGAAGTTAATTCAACTGAGCCACACTTTAATCAAACTTTATTTAAACATTTCTCTTTCTTGTGATCTGCTTGCTGCAGGCTTTTTGGCAGCACAGAGAAAACAGTTATGCACAAATGATTCTTCTGAAAACACTCAGCTGCTGATGAGACACACGGACGAGACATTTGGCCTTGCACTCAGAGGCACAGTTTGGAGGACACGCCGTTTGTATCAGGCTCGAACTGATTTACAGTTACAAGGTGGAAGCTGAGTTCGTTGCTGTAGTAACGAGAGGCCTCAGCACTAGAAACATCTAATAGTAAGACGTTCCTCCTCTGGAGCGAGGCGGAACCAGGGACAGTTTAAAACATCAGAACCCAGGAAGTCTGGTCAGCCAATCTGGGGTGAGCAGCTTTGTTCTGACTAAGGTGAATTGCTCTGATTTGCTCTGATTGTCTCCCGAAAATGCATTTTTGGTTATTTGGCAATGTCTTGCTTTAACTGTGGTGTGTATTAAATTCTTTTAAACTAAGGTGAAGTCTCCTGGTGGTACCTGCCTGATCCAAACCAACCCGGAGAAAGGTGTTCGTACCTTTCAACATACTACAGAATTCAGAGACAAGTGGGAGAAATGATAACAGCAGAGAGGGACAGAAGCGAAGAAAAACTAATAACCAGATTAAGATTTGGACATACTGGACTTAACAACATATTACACAAGATTCAGAAACATGATACAGGACAATGTGAGCACTGTGGACAGGAGGAACCAATAGAACATGTCATTTTGGTCTGTCAGAAATATGAACATCACAGAAGCCATATGATAGAACAATTAGGAAAAACCAAAGAAACATTTAGTATAATAAATATATTACAAGAGGAAATTAGAAGTAAAATTATTCAAATTATACATTTTTTTAGAAACACAAAATTAGAAAAGAGAATATAAACATGATTGCAAACAGCCATTTTCATCCACACTCCACATCAGAAGGAGGCGGTAATGCACACCTTCTGTTATGTGCCAACCGCCATAAAACTCCATTAAAAAAAGAAGCCTTAACAACAAGTTAAAGCTGGATTTTGGATGGATTTTGGACAAGAGTCAACAGATTTGACACCAAATGGGACCGCTTCATCTACCAGCTCCACATTGGTCACTGAGTGGACCAGAACCGAGTCGACGAGGATGATGTGTGTGTGAATGACAGGCATTAACATAAAACACTTTGTAGAACAGTGCTTTATAAAGTTCAGTGCATTTCCTTTATTAGCTGACCGGCAGTTCTGCCACATCCAATATGGAGGCCGCTCTGATGTATCGCCGCAACAGGCCAGCCCACTCATCGAGGTGTCCACTAAAACTGCCTCACCAGTTCTCTGTTGTGAACGCCCTGGCAGATGACAATAGCAGTGATGGAGAAAGGTCAGGGGAACTTTGATTGTTTGAAATATGTTTAATAGGTTAACTCAAAAACTGCCGATCTGACTCCAAATCCACCCAATTATCCCCACCCGCCCAAAGCAAGTTTTACCTGCAAAATCAGAATGAAAGCTGCCCAATTGGTGGTAAACCGCCCAGTCTGGCAACACTGCTCCTACAGCAGCAATTAAAGTTGAGATGGGAGAAATGTCATTAGAATTAAGGAGAATACAATTAGCAATAAGCTACTGGATCAGTTTACAAGGAAATGAGTCAAACTATCCAACAATAGAAACTTTAAAACCATGTTGGGAAAAAGAGAAAAAGGAGACTAGGAGTTTTGTATGGGTAATTAATAGAAAAGCAGAAGAATTGCAAATAACCAATT